TGTTTGGCCAGTTTGGATTTTGCATATATTCCAATACATATACTAAGAAGTGTATAGCTGCCTAAATGGATATATATGCCCACGATCTATCGGGCTGTGAGGGTGGAATCCTAATTATGGCGAGTCCAGTGCTAGAGTTTCCTTCTTACCAGGAGAGTCGATTGTTTTTCTGAAGGTGCGATACAGCCATTCCTATGTGATTCCGCATTAAGTCTTTTTTGTACAGCAGGAGATGTTGATGATGTTGATTCCTGTTTGACCGGGGGTTGCTGTCGATGTGTTTTGTCCGACCAGGGTGATGATTCGTAAATTTCGGGGAAGGCTGAGTTGCTGCAGCTGTGAGCAGTATGCAAAAGTTGAGCCCAAAATTTCAATGACACACGTTTGGGACAAATCAACAGTTTGCAGCTGCTGGCAGCTCACACATGCGGCCGATCCTATCCTGTTAAAATCTGGCTGGGATCAGCTGGGGAAGCTTACTGAAGCGATCTGGGGAACCCACTTAGGCATGGAATTGAGAGATGCACGAGACAGTTCAAGAGGCATTCCGAATCACAAAATCCTTCACGACTTACAAAAGGGAACTTGCACAACACAAGCAGCAAAGACACAAAGTAGCAATACTCAAAGTCACAGCAGCAGACCTAAACTTTAGAAGACGCCAGAGCTACTTTGGTTCTTCGGCTGGCACGTTGAACTGTGACACTTCAGAAACGCCCCATCCCCATCACACAGCACCAGGTTGCAATGCTTCTGACACTCCCAGCGTTGGATTGGCGATTGAACGACTGGTTCAACTTCTTGCCGCAAATGTGCTGACAGATGCGAGCATTTTTGTGAACAAAGGTAGAGGACAAAACCCATGGGGTGGAAAATCCATTTCCAAAACAGCGACAGATGCCCCTCATGCATTTTACTCATGGTTTGCTGCAATTTTGCTTACTGAATAAAGTGTCTTCGTTGTTGGGGTGTGAATGTATCGTTATCCAACGCTAGCTCATGGCCATCATGCTTCCTGGTTATAAGATGTTATAAGCATTTGAGTCAAGGCATGCGGCATACAGCAACGGATAGTACGTAGCCTTCAAAGGTTTGATTTAGCATACCCGGAGTCCCAGAGACCAGCATTAGACTTCCCGCATGTATTTGTCAAATCGTCGCCAATGTTGGTTGTTCCAAACGGCGGGTCTTTCTGGGTGTTTCCACCATTCATGCCCATGAAGGTGTTTAAACTTGGTATTGTTCAATGCTCTTTTGAGGACAAACTAACTCTGGGGTTCCTCTTGGATGACAAATCTGTCCCCAAACGGTCTCGGTCCGGGCTGGTGCATCCCTCGAACGTCGTCGGAACCGAGACGCCGTCCCGCCGTGTCGTCCAGTGGGGTGCATCCGCTGCCTCAACGGCCAGTCCAAGAACTCCATCAAAGAAGCCAAAGTCCATGGAGCACGAACCGTTCGCTCGGGCCCCCCAGTCCGTTTGATGATTTTGATGGGTTCCGGAGAGAATGAGTAGGATGTTTGTCAAGTTCTGGATGTGGATGTGTATCAGGCATTGAAACATATCGAAGCCATCCTCCATATCATGAGTTTTGAGCATGATTGCATCGTCTTTTTCTTGTATATATATATACATATATAGCTGAGCAGCGTATGAAAGATCAGCAGTCATGTAGTTGGAATTGTTTGGACACATGCAAGGCCTTGAAACAAATGATTCGGGCAGGTTGCTACATATATATATACTAGAGCGAATCTAGAGCGAGTATATTAATATGTCATTACTGCAATTCTACTGAACACTCCGTGAAAAAATAACAAAACAATGAGCAGTGAAGTGATCTACTCAGGTGCCCCAACCCCTGTAACCACACGCAGACATGTGCTGATTGATGGGTTGCAAATGCCACGCGAAACAGCACCGACACATGGTCCTTTGCATTGTCAGTTCAAGGGCTCCCGCCGGCAATTGACAAGTATGTAAGTGTGCATTTTTATATACGATGTAAGTAGTTTGTTATACTGTATAAATGTGAACAGTACAAATATGCTGCAGATGAAAGCTGGTGAGTCGGATTATACAGGTTTTGGGCATCCCTTAGCTTTAGAGATGCCCAAATACTTAAATGCCGGATGTTGATGCATCTGAAAGCCACCAGGCATTCCCACACAGTTCCCATAGGCACAATCCTGCTCGGCTGAGTATCCCATTCCTTGCAAGTGGAGCATGCAATTAAGCATTTTCTGGGCAACATGGGTTTCAAAGCCTAGTGAAAAGACTGCGAGGGCCTAAAAAAGGTTTCACACACATATATATATATTTATATATATACTATATGTATATCATCACACTCGCTCCGACCCACTGAAAGGAGAATCAATCGCAGTGACCCTTTGCAAGGTGACCTTCCCCTCAAGCCAGTCGTTTTTTCTCTTTGAAACCGCAAGTCATGTTCAAAGGCTGCAACCGCTGCCTGCCTGGTTTGACCCTGCATTGTCGTGTGGCGGGGTGGCCCAGATGACGGGCGATCTTTCTCAAGACTTTTGTGTACGCGATCAGTCAAGCACTACATACAGATCATAACCAGCATGATGTTCGAAGCACCACTCCCACTCCCTCGTACTACCCTCTTTTCATTATGTTGTCCATGCCCAGCACTCCCACAATGGAAAATAAAGAGAAAGAGGGAGAGGGGGAGGGAGAGAGGGAGGGAGAGAAAGGGAGAGAGAGAGAGAGAGAGAGATCGAGAGCGAGGGAGAGGAGAGAGAGGGAGAGGGAGAGAGCGAGAGCGAGAGAGAGGAGAGAGAGGGAGAGAGAGGGAGAGAGAGGGAGGGAGAGAGAGAGAGCGAGAGAGAGCGAGAGAGAGAGAGAGGAGAGAGAGAGGAGAGAGAGAGG